TAGACAGCAGTTGTGAGTCATTGTCACTAAAACACACAAATGCAGCTACTCCGCAAAGCAATGGATCATAGCGATTAATCCCAGCATCATAATGGATAGTGAGTAACTTATCCCTCGAGACGGTATCAAACTGAAACGAACATGGCCTTTATTCTTTAGCCCTTGTCTTATTCCACAGCCAAGGACCACACAAGATATTCAGGTGCGTTGATTGCTCATCGTCCAAGACTGCAATCAAATTGTGTGCAATTTTATGATCGATCGAACGGAACCGAAATAAGTGATAATTGTTTATTAGCAGTTCATTTTTGTACCATGCTGTTAGAACATATTGCCTCTGTGTGACGTGGCATTATCATCAGATCAGTTTCTGCAGTGAATTTGCATACACATATATTCGTTATACGTTTTTTATCTAAACTTAGACGATTATTTGGTAAAGTTTATCATGCTGTCATAAGAAACATACATTAACACTTTCAAGAGTAAGGATTTCAGTGATGAGAAACGTACATGGCGATCAAGGCACGACCAGTTTCGAAAGTCCGCGCCATGAAACCGTTGTCGACGACTTGCCTTTACCTTCACCGCAGTAGCCACAGGAACTTGGGCACAGATGCCTCATGTCCCGCTCGTTTCGACCACCGCACATCTGCCAGGAGGCGAACAGCTTGCACCTGGCTTCTAGTCCCCGTTTGTCAGCACAGGCGTGGGTGGCAGTTACCTGAGCCGCCTCACCGTAATCTCTTGTCTGAGGCAACTCGTTGTCGCTGGCCATTAGCTTGCCGCTCTCGCAGTCCTGGCAGGACATCGGACACGTAGCCAACATGAAATGGCGATAGCCAGTCTTGTCGCAAAAGCCCCTGCTGGCCCAGACGTTGCAATGACCGTTCTGGTCCTCGCACTTCTTCCTTCGGACGGTGCTGGCTTCCGTGGCCGTGGTAGTCACGGCTGCCGAGGCCGCGTCTTCGTTGCACATGTTGCACGCTTTCCGGCAGTTCTGACGCATGTACTCCGGGTACAGACGGCAGTGGTTGAGAAACGCCCAAAAGTAGCATTCCCACTTTTCGTTAAGGCACTTGGCACCCCCTGTCGTACGCGGCTCCACGTTTACGTCACCCTCGTTATCATCTTCAGGGCTTAACTCATTGGTGGTCACACTGACGTTCGTCATATCACCGCAATCGTACAATTTCTTTACCTTCATCAGGTCCAGTTCGCTAAAGCCGTCCCTCTGACCCATCCGTGAGGCCCCCCGTTTAAGCGCAAGGATCGTCTTCTCGCCGTTTTTGCTAAATGCGTACGGCCCGTAGTGCATGATGCTACCGTAATCGTAATTGATGTTCAGCTGGTCTACTGTCCTTGAGTCGTACTTCTCGAACTGATCCTTTGCGCCCGGCATTATCTTCGTCCAAATCACCTTGATATACTCGTCTCGATCCGTCCGACTTTGCTCGTGGAAAAATCCAACCGAATGCATCAACTCGTGAATGATAGTCCCAACCTAAAAATAAATTGAAGAGTAGTTTGGAAAGTACGACAAAGGGTGATCCGTCGATTCACAAAAACTAGCATAATTCCGACTTCTCTGAACCAGGTTATTAGCAAACTCTGAATTTTAAATTATATAAGACTTGCAAACATAAAATCAATCTCACTTTCTGAACATGTACAAAAATCTTGAAAGCTGTGACTTCAAAGTGGCCAAAACACGCCAGCAGAACAGCGTTTGTGCAGATCCGAAAAGAGAAATGGCCAAGGTAAGGTATCAGAGCCGACAAACTTCTCTTTGTCATTTACGGTAATCCTGAAGTTAGGTCATCAATTTCGAAACGGTCAGCCATCAAGGCAGGAATAGCTAAGGCTGACAGATCCTTTTATTTTTACTATCAATCGATAAAATTCCAAGACTGTTTTTCCTTTCAGGTTACGGAAGCAGACGATTCAGGGAGTGTCTCCAAAAATTCCCATCGAGTTGGCTTTCCGAAGATTAAAAATGTTTTTAAAACAAATAGTTTTCGATAATTATGCGCTCTCAGTGCTAACCCATGCGTGCAAATCATAGACCACACGCCTGAAAGCTGTTCATAAACTGCAGACTACTCAACGCAGCAAGGAAAGGTGTATGTTGGGAATAACACGAAGACATAGGAAGAGTAA